ACTGGCAGGAAGGTCACAGCCCTGCCTGGCCCGACGTCCCGAGAGCCAGCAGCTTCTCTGACCTCCTCCACCTTGAGTCCGTCCTGCCCGGCGACCGCGTGGGCCACTTGAGGGGCAGCTACACAGGCGGCCTGGAGAGATGCGCCTTCATCCGGGCCTCGTGCCCCAGGGGCGGAGCGTGAGTGTCTCCAGCCGCCAGGAACAGGCTGGGGCTGGGGACGCCAAGATGAGCTCAGAAGGAGACCACCAAACGCCCGCCACGTCCCACCGGGGTTGTCAGGAGAGCCTCTGGCTGGCCTCCCGCTTCATGCCTGTGTCTGCAGAAGTCGGGGAACCCTTCACAATCCCCGAGTCAGGTCGGCTATTTCTCTGCTCACCGCCCTCAGATAACCGCCCACCTCAGTGGCAGCAGACGCCGCAGGTCCAGAGTGGCCTGCACTGTCCCCCCCGCCCCATCCCTGGCCGCTCTGACCTCATGTCCCTTCACCCTCCGCCCTGCCCGCTCGGCGCGGCTGCCCTGCCTGGACTCTGGTCCCCCTCAAAGGTGCCAGGCAAGCTCCTGCCTCCGGGCCCCCTGCACCTGCTACCACCGCCCGCCCCACCCCCAGATGGGCATGCGGCTCGCTCGGCCCTCGCCTTCTTCCCGTCTTCGCTGACGTGCCCCTTTCTCAGCGAGGTTTTCCAACCACCGTGTTTGAGGCGCCCCTCGCCCTGACCCCGGGCCCCACCGCGCTCGCGGACGTCTGACATCGCCGCCCACTCCCGTGTTGTCGTTTGCCCGTTTGCCCCAGAATATAAGTTCTTCCACGGCAAGGATCCTCACTGTCTTCACTGCTATGTCTCCAGCACCTAGAACACCACCCAACGTCCACGAACGCCTGCCGAGTGGCTGACCCAGGCCGTCTGACCACGGCCACTCCAGAGGACAGAACCCGAACACACTGCTTCTCAGCCGACCGCCCGCGTGCGCGCGGCCGCATCCTCTGCCGGCCAGCGCGCAAACCGGCAGCTCCCGCCCACCGTGCACTGGCCCACGGCAGCCAGCCGCGAACCCCAAACCCCTCGGCCGGCACCGAAGTCTGTATGGAAGCTCACACACCCCTCACGGCCCTCGCCGTGCGACGCTGTGTACGGGTCATGGCAGGAGCCACAGCCCTCGCCACCCGGAGCCCAGCGACATGGGCATCGTGCCATTGTGTGGTCACGTGACGCCATGACAGGCACAACGCACACCCGAATTACAGCTCCGCACAAGAGGGGTGCAGCGTCCCCCACGGTCAGCTTACCCGACGGCCCGCTGAGCGTGGGGCAAGCCCTGCGGTGTCCCATCTGACGGCCACGTGCGCGTCCGTTCATTCTTCACTCACTCGGTAAACGCCGAGCACTGCTCCGTGCTGAGCCTCATGCTGAGCTCTGGGGTTTGACGGTGAAAGTCACAACCCTCCAGTTTTGCCAAAAGGACAGACCCGGTACTGAGCAAGAAGCGATGACCAAGCGGGAGAGCTGGTGGACCAGACACTAGCGCACGGTCCCTGCTTGGGAACAAGCACCTCCGAGACGGGTGACGTTCTGCTGGTTTGGGGAGGGAGAGGGGCAAAGCCCCAGAGGGGTGGGGGTGACATGCTTTATAATAAAGGCAAGGAAAATCTCAAGATATAGGAATGTTATGTTCTCTATGGGGGGTGGGGGGGTGGGGAGAGGGAGGGGGTGGCGCTCAGAAACGCTGGTTCTTGGCAGGAGCTGAAGTCGGGGAGGGGGCAGAGGCTGGAGCTCGGAGGTCCCCACAAAGCCACATACGCTAAGGAACAACAGACACCATTCTGGGGGCAGCGGGAGCCATCGGGGACCTTGCGACACAGTCAGACGCACATTCATAGGCGCCCTCGGCACCCCGAAACAGGGCCCCGAAGCCAGCGTGTTCCCCAGGTTTCCCACGGCACTGGGCGAACGGCGCCCACCACAGTGAGCAGCGGCGCCGAGCACGACTTAAAACCCCGGGTAAATTATTTTAACGATCCTGCCATCACAGCGGCCTTCGCCGCTGTCTGAACCCCCTCCCGGCTCCAGCCGTGTCTCTCCTGACGGCGCACACGAATCAGCACCCCTGACAGACACACGCGTGCCTCTCGATGTCCCACGAGGCACAGGGCAGTCTGCCTTGGGAACCCGTCACATGCACAGGCTGGGGGACCCGCTGCCTGTCCTTGGCTGTGTGGTCTTTTCGGATTACCCCCGAGAAAGCAGCTCTTTTCCTGAGCATCTTCCGTGAGCCAGGCGCTGGGCTAGACCTTTCACAGTCGTTGCGGCTTAGCAGGGACCTTCAACACATTTGACCGGTCACAGGCCTAATGGCGACCGGCTCAATGTCAACCTGACCTGGAGGCGCCATGGCCCAGAGGTGACAAATTGGTTAGCCCACGGCCGCACATGGCTCATGCATGCGTTGTATTCGGTCTGAAGGGTGTTTAATTTTCAAAACTACGTCGCCGATATATCGAAGACTAGTGAGGTTTCACGTAAAAGCCCCGACGAGGACGGAGCCCGGCTCACGAAGTGTTCAGGAAATGGCGGCCGTCATCATCCTGGAGAATGTAGAAATATCACAGCCGCTAGTCACCGGCGACGGAAGCGTCTGACTGTCCCGCTGCAGAGCGACACCCGCTGAGCCTGTTGGGAAGCTCGCTAGCCTCTGTCCCCACCATCCTCCTGGCCTCTTGGGCATCCGAGCCCATTATCTGGTCCTGGGAGCCACCACCCCTCCCCAGACTGGGCGAGAACCAGCGTCTACCTCTGAATGAGACTTCCTCCTGGGCACGTGCCTCGGGCCTCTGCCTGTGTTTTCCACACTAAACTTCTCAGCCTGGAGCGGTTGGGGTACCAGATCCCCATGAGTGCCCCCCAGAGTTTACAGTGTTCCCAAGGGATGCTGACACGGCCGGCCAGGGGACCACACTTTGAAAACCACTGTCCTACAAATTAAAGCATGAACCCCAAATGTCAGGGGGCTCAAAGTCGGTGGGGACGGGAGCACTTGCGTCTTTCCTCTGGCCGAGCAAGGCGAGGGGCGGTCCACGATCTGTGACCTCACAGACAGCTCCACAAACACCAGACGAGTCGTGGGTCCCACCTCCGAGTCCCCAGCTTCCCGAGGGGACAACATTCTCTTCTGGGTTGCCTCCTGGTCTTTCTCCAAATGGTTTGATAAAAGTGATCGACCGCCCACGCCTGGCAGGGCGCCTCCCGACCCAAACTGTACCCACGGACATTATTGCAAGGAGGGGCATCAGCGGGACTCGACCCCGTGCCCCTCAAAGCCGCTGCCCCCGAGACAGCGATGACTGTGTGACACTGCCAACAGAACCATCGCCAACTTCCCTGGGGTGCCTACCACACACCAGACGTGTACGGAGCACCGTATGCACTGACCCCCCCGATGGAGAACCCCCGTAACACCACCACCGAATTCCAGACGGCGAAACGGGGGCAGAGCCGGGGCGACATCGTCCGAGGTCACCACGATGATCAAGAGAAGATGTGTCAGACCCGCTGGGCTCACTGAGGGTCAGACACTGTTAGGGATCCTGGGCCCAACCCTACGTCTGTTTTAAGATGGGTGCTGATTACCTGGAGGATGACAGACACCTGGAGGTGATGTCATATGGGACGTGCTTGCAAGTGGGGGTGGTGGTGAGCCTGGAAATGCCAGGATTCAAGAGCATAAGACCAGCAACAGCAGCTGTCTGAAGGTTGCTCTGCAAAGTAAGTAGCTCCGGATGACAGATGGGACCCAGGGATGGCGGTCTGGGGAGGCTGATTTGAAATCGGGACAGAGTTTGCAGTGACCAGAGGGCCGCAGACTGGAGCGGCTGCCCCTACAAGACCTGCCTCCTGACACCAGGAAGGGCCCAGGGAGAAACGGGACTCACCAGTGACGCTATGTTCTGATCATTTGAGGCGCACGGGGTGGGGGAGATGTGACAGGCATGGGGAGGCCTTCTTCAACTACCTGCCCTTTGGCCCTGGGTGACTGATGGAGTCGGACGGCCTGTCACGAGGGGCTGAGTGACCGTGGACAGAGCGCTCGCCCTCTCTGAGCCTCTGTGTCTATCACCGGGACGTAACTCGATGCTACGTGCGAAGTGCTTAGTGTGCTGCCTGGCACGTAACGAGTGGCCAAGGAGTTAATAATAATAAGACTAAAATAAGTACCATTATTGTGGTCATTTTCTTCATCTTAATATCCAAGATCCTCACGACTTTAAGTGTCGGTGACAGCAGTTACGTTCACTTTTCGGCCTCGGTAGGCAGTTTGCCACCCGTAATCAAGTCCCTGGGTCTCCGCCCCACGTAACCCAATAAATAAGCTTCTTCCCAGCGGAGTCGCCGCTCTGATTAAATCGGGTGCCGACAAGTACTCCCTGCTGAGCCTCTGGGGATGGAAAACCTTCCTCCTGGGGACCTTAATTCCCATGTTATAAACGGTCTCTCAAAGCCGCAGCTGCACTCAGGGCCTCCGGGAGGTCAGTGAGCAGGCCGGCTTCGCGTTTCGGGGGTGCCGGCTGGGGGTGCTGTCTCACTTACTGACTTACTTTAGAATCGAATTTAAATACTGTCGAGATAAACAGCATGGCCTTTTCTACGCCTCTACCAAGAGAAATGAGACAGTCGGATCCAGAAAAGCACAAGGGCAGAATCGGCCTGTTTGCCACAGTCCGAAAATGGACTTGAGCGCGGCTCGCCCAAGGGTCATTCCCAAAAAGGTGCCAGCGAAGACAGGTACAATAATTAAACCAGCGAGACTCCCAAACTCAGCATCCATCGCCTCCCCCGCGTAGACGGAGGACGCGCTTTCTGGGTGCACCGCTCCCTGTTCCGCGCCCACCGACTCTGTGCAGCAGCGGGAGATATTCCAGGGCCCCCGAGAGCGGCGAGCACACGCCACCGGACACGGGACAGGCGTGCGGGGTGCGCGAGGCCCACGGCACACACGGTTTACTTACGGCTTTCGGCTTATACGGGGGCTGGATCTCTTTGCGTTCGAGTTTCTCCCAGTCTATGTACCGGAAGAATGCATGTTCTTTGATGTCTCGCTCGCCTTCGGGTCCGCAGCCCAGACGTTTGCCTGGGTGTTTGGTCATCAGCTTCAAGAGAACAGAGAAACGTCGCATGTCACGAGCTTCGGGAGGAGACACGCGACACGCGCAGGAACCGTTCCTCCGATGAACTGCCCAGCTCATCGTGAGTTTTTGCTTCTCGTCCCAGCCAGGACCTCCCGGCCAGGCCTTCGTAACAGGAGGGCCCTGAGACGTGCTCCCCGCTCCTTGTCCCACAGCACGGTCACTAGTGATTAATTAAACCTAAGCCTAGATGGGGCCCTGAATGTCAAGTTAGACATGTCGCACGATACATTTCGGTGGAAGCATGAGTTTTATGCAATTACTGGCACATTGAATGAGAATAGCTTCAGGATCTTCCCATTCTACCCCCACCGCGAGAAAACAGGAGTTTGATCAGGCAAAGGCCACATTCGTTCGGATAATATTTGCATTTCTCCGCAGAGCCCTTGCGAAAATGACAAAACGGGAGAAAAAATATTAGTCGAAAGGGCCTGAGTTCCAAGTAATTACTTTCTGGAAGCTCATTAGACAGTGAAAACCTCGCCCAGCTCGTATCACACATTATACTAAACTCCGCTGAGGTTTCTTTGGTGCTCCGTTTAAATTACTTAATTATCTAAACCCTCCATCTTTGGGTCTCTGAGCCCCTGCTAAATGACAAGACGGATAGATGCTCTAAGATGAAGCCAGACAGACTTCCTCTTGCAAATGAATCCAAAGCAGCTTGAAAACATCTCCACTTCACGACTTTGGCAAACCCGCAGGGAAAAACAGGAGTTGGTGATTAAAAACAAACAAACTGGCCAGAGGGCATCGAAATGAAAATAAAAGCGGCTGGAACATACAAGGCCAAGAAGCTGCCCAGAGTTGGCTGGACACCAAGATTTTTGCCCAGGATGTGCAGATTTGGGGGACGGAGGGGCCCAGCAAGTCACACCTACTCTGCTGGGCATCCAGCTTAGCCAGATTCCTGACTACCAGATAGCTGGTCACTGGAAACCACCGCACCCCCAAACACACATATATACAGATGATACTTTCCATCTGTGCTTTACCTTCCAGGGGGAAAAAGAATCGGGCTCGCTCGTACATTCTACGCAGCTTCTTTACTTATTTACATGCACGAACTTGCGTGATTCTCAATAACCCAGTGACTTGGGTGTGTCGTTTTTCCCAGTTGAATGGCAGGGCAGTTGACCCTCAGAGAGGCTAAGTGACTGGCAAGGGCTCAGAGGTAGTAAGTGGCAGAGCTGGGGCTGGATCCCTCCTCCAACTCCAAAACTTGGGCTTTTAAGAGGGATGAGAGAGCGTCTGGCGTGCGCTTTCCCCCGAGACATTCGTGGCTTGGCGTGGCCAGGAAAGGTTACCGCAGGGCGAGCAAACCGAGCCAAGCCTCGACATTTGTGCAGGATAGGGATGGAGGGCAGCAAGGGCCATGAAGGCCTGGGTACCGATTCGACCGTTGGGAGCGCGGTCCGCGATGGTCGACGCGGGAGGGGCCATCTGGGCAAAGTTCCACCGATTGTTTTTGGTGCAAAACAGGGTCTTTCGCGGGCTGGACTTCGAAAGGGTGTTTTCAGTCGCAGTGGGGATGTTTTCGAAAGCCTTGCTCAGTTTCTGTGTGAGCAGGAGGCTGCCAAGTTAGGACACGCCACTGCAGAAAAGCCTGGGCCCAGCGCGTTCGGGCCCAGCTCCCGCGGTCTGAGCCGTGGCGCCCGAGGCAGTGCAGACAGCTGGGTTTAATCAGCACTCCTGTCTCTGGTCCCTGATCGCCTCCCAGATGCACCCCCTGGGGCCCCTGTTCAGGAGGAAGCGTTTGGCTGTCAGCTTGAGCATCGCCCCGTCTTTGGAGGTGCAGCCTTGAAGAGCGAGCTCGTACTGAACTCACTCCACTTTGCTTGGAAAGGTCCCCAAACCCAAGGTTCGGAAAGTCACCCTGGTTAACCCTGAAGGTGACGGGTCGTAACTTAATAGAAATCCGCTCTACTAGGAAAAGTGCTAATTAGAGCTGAAGCTGAATGCAGCTGACCTGGAAAAGCCTTTCTCCTCCATGACCCAGTTCGAGCCCCCAGCTGTCCAGGCCCCGCCGAGCTGAGAAGGGGAAGGTCCTGAGCCCGGGCTGAGCACCTACTATGCGCCAACACCACTCAAGGAGCTTTCTCTTATATTGAACGCTCTCAAAAACTGTTCCGTGAATATCAAGCTTCCATTTTTACAGATAAAGACACAGAAGCCTAGAGATGCAAAGTAACGTGCTCGAGACTATGCACTTCGGAAGTGAAAGGGTCGAGACTGGCAAAGGGCCTCTCGATGTCCCAAACCGCCCCCTTTACAAATTCCTCTCTCAGGGGGATGCAAACGCAGGTGACGGCAGGATCCGGCCCTGGCGTTGGTAAACAGTGTGGGAGCAGAGCCCGGGCCCTAGGTGGCTCTCCCGTGCTCACTGCTCCCTCGTGCAATGCTGTCATCCCTCCCGTCTACAGACGAGGTCAAACGGCCGCCCTGCTGTCGCCGGGTGGATGCCGCGGGGACCCAGGGAGAGAGAATGGGGCCGGACGGGGGTTTCTGCAGACTGGAGAGGGCACGACCCCGCTGAGCGCCACGGGGCCTGCAGCGGTCTGTGCTGACCTTGCTCTGTACCCTCTTTTCTCCACGAGCCCCGCTTGAGCTTATAACGACCCCGCAGGCCTCTGCCCGCCTCAGCCCCGCAAAGCCAGCAGCTCCCACCACGGCACGCGCGGCTTCCCCAGGGCCGTATGCACCTTCCCCCCCGGCCAGCCGGAACCCAAAGCTTCGGCGATTCGCCGAGAACGAGGGTTCCATCGGTGTGACAGGCGCTTGGGGACTGGAGCGCTGAGCCCGCTGCCTGAGTTTCCCAGCTTTCCTCCGCCCATGCCGGCCCGCGTGGCCTCTGACGGTCAGGAAGGGCAGGGCAGTGGGGCGTCTGCAGCCCTGGCCCATTCGGGGCACAGGTGGTTCGGGCGCCACCAGCCGGCAGCCCTGCTCCCACCGTGAGGACGGCCCCTGATCCCGGCCATGTCTCCGTTGGGGTTGACGAGCTACCGCCTTCGGACAACACGTGTAAGGACCTGGCCCGCAAGCCACAGGGGGAGCTTTTCAATGCCCGGACTTCACCTTCGGGCCAAGGTGGAGGGCTGAGCATCAGGTCCTCCCAGAAGAGAGGACCACTGCCCCCCAGGGACCTGCCGGCCGCGGCGACCACACCCAGGGCCTGATGGCGGGTGCATGCAAGCGACCCGCGCCCGCGAGCCCATGCCCCGCCTCATCACAGGGGCGCCCACACTTGCCGCCTGTGGACGGCGTGGGGGCTTGGCGACCCTGAACCTGGTCAGCTGATCTAGAGAATCCCGTGAACGTGATACTGCCTGTCTTCTTAGAACAAAAGCCGCACGCTCAGTGTTACCCTCATGCACACGCACACACGCAGGCACATGCACACGCAAAGCACACACGCACATGCAAGGCACACACATGCACACGCACACATGCACACGCACACACGCACACACACGCACGGGCACCGCTGACGGACTGGCGCCCTCTGCTCTGGGGTGGGGGTGGGTAGCAGGTCCCAGCCAGGGCTGGGGCTGGAGGCGGGTGAGGGGTGGAGCTCGGCCTCTGCCCCCCACTCCCCCGCCCTGCCTGAGCCCTGCACATGGAGGTCCTGGCCCCAAGCCTCGAGGGGCTCACTCACCCCTTTGCAGATGGCCACGGCCTCCTTGGACATGGACTTCGGGTAGGCCACGGTGTGCTCCATGATGGACTGGAAGAGCTCGTCCTCGTCCTCCCCTTCGAACGGCGCCTGTGGGACGGAGGACCAGTGGAGGGGCGCCCTGCCGGACTCCCCACTGCTCTGACCCGCAGGTCCCTCCCTGGGGTTCCCGGGAGCCTGCACTCTGGGGCGTCCAATGGCCAACAGCCAGGGTTAGCCCCGAGGCCGTGGCGGTCGGAGGCTCCGACTGACGAGCTGGAGGCCGGCGGAGGGGACACGGGTGGGGGCGGGGTGGACACTGAGCACGGGTCACTCGGAATCAGTTACCTGCCCGGCCAGCATTTCGTAGAGCAAGACTCCGAAAGCCCACCAGTCCACCGACTTCCCGTAGGGCTGATAAGCGATGATCTGGAAAACAGAAGGTGTCCCGTCAGGCGGGGCGGCCCGTCTCGCCGGAGACCGGCACCGCTTCCTCTTCGGCGGCGGCGGGGGGTGGGGGGCGGAGGGAGAGGGCTTCCTTTGCCTGTCCCCTGCCTACCGTGAAAGAGAGAACTGGCCGTCGCAGTCCCAGAGGCGGGCTGCTGGCTAAGAGGGTGGGCGGGGGCCGGGGTCCGCCCGAGCTGTTTCTCTTACGGGCCGAGTGTCCTCTAGAGGTCCCTGCAGGCGGGGACATCGGTGGGTGCCACTCTGCCTTTGCAGCACTTAGGGTGCTGTGTTACTTTTAACTTTGATACCACGAACGTGGCCTTTTTAAGGAGAAAAATTACTGTCCTTGTTTTTCGGTACAAAAGTGGGAACATGAACGTTACAAGGTGAAAGTATTTAAAATGACCGAACCGTGCACTTAGAACTGGATAAGGTGGTAAATTGTATATATTTTTGTTTACCAAATTTTAAAAAATGAAGTTAAAAAATATAATAGCATTTATTAATATTTTACTATTCATTTAAAAGCATAGATAAGCTAAGAGAATACAATGAAAATCACCCATGATCCTCTATCAAGAGAAAAAAGATGAGTGATATTTCATCAATCTCCTTCTACGGTCTGTCGATACGTGTTAAATTTGGTATGGATGTACGTGTTAACATGCACAATTTTAATAAAGTGCTTTATTCCCTTATAATTTCCAGGCTAATATCTGTGCCCCGACATAACCAGGTCTTACCTCTGCATAGAGCTCCCTGAATGGCTACACCAAAACCTACTTTATCAATTCTCCATTGATTGGATTCCTTCCGATGCTACAACAGAGCCTCGTAGCGAGGCGTTTGCACGTCTGTCCAATTATTTTCCTAAGATAAACACCCAGAAGCAGAATGGGTGGATCGCCTGGCACACACAGGTTTCAGGTCTGGGGTACTTATGACCTCAGTACGGGCCAAGGCCACATCTAGCACAGCTGTGAGCGGCCAAGTTGCTGTGAGCGGGGCGTGAACTCAGTGTGTCGCAGGGGTCAGAGGTGAGACGGGGCGTGAGCTCAGTGTGTCGCAGGGGTCAGAGGTGAGACGGGGCGTGAGCTCAGTGTGTCGCAGGGGTCAGAGGTGAGGCGGGGCGTGAACTCAGTGTGTCGCAGGGGTCAGAGGTGAGACGGCAGAGGCAAAAGGCCGAGACTTAGGGTCCCGCCTGCCGTTCCCCACTTGCGTGACCTGGGGAGGAGTCACTGAACTTCTTGGTCTCAGTCTCCCGTGCACCAAACGAAGTTTAATTTGATGTCCATGTCACGGGGCTTTGTGAGAATGAGAGACGAGCCCGTGCCGCTCACTACCATGCCCTCGACACGTCTGCTAGCACCCGAGGGTCCTCTGATTCTGCGATCGCTCGTTTTGCTCGGTAAGTGAGTCTGAGCAAACGCGGGCTGCTTCTCACCGCCTACCGCGGCTCCCACTCGGAGATCGGAGACACCCTCCGAGGAGAATTAACTGCCAGAGGCCGAGGAGACAGCTTCCCGGGAGGACGCGTCTCCCCGAAAGTGTCCTCACACTTTTAAAGTCCAGCCTTATCTGATCCTCATGACGACCTTACGACTTCCCCCTTCACAAAGGATGGCGGAGCCTGGGGCAGTGACGGTCCCACGGGTGTGGTGGCCCGCTGACCTCGGGCCCGCAGCCCGTTCCATCAGCTTGGGGCTTCTCGGGCACACTTGAGGCACGACCACCGGGACTCTCGAGGGCCACAGACACCGGGCCCCCCCTGAGTGATCCTGATCCGCTCGGCCTAGGGTGACGCGTGGGCACCCTGCATTCTCAAAGCCCCTCGGGCGACTTTCAAGTGCAGCAACAGGTGAGAACCAGAGATGACGGACTCAGGCATGTGGAGGACTGTTCCGATGTCCTAACTAACTGATGGCCATGTCCCAAGGTGCGCCACACAGGGAGAACTCTGCGGCCGCCCCAGAAAGGATTAATTCCTCGTAAGGATGACTTCTGGATTACTCAAGGGATGCGAGAATACGTTTATACCGTGAAAACTTAAGCAGTATCAGACGGAGCCAAACTTCCCGTCACCAGAGACGGTCGAGGCTGTAAACCCTCAACCTTATGGCTTGTCTACACTCTTACACGCCTAGACACGCACTCGCAGGAAAGACACGGCAGCGCCGTGCGCTAGCCCCACAAACAGGATCATATCGTATTTACCGGCGTGCGCCTCGATCCTTCTCTGAATGTGCCTCCCACGCCGACCTGCATCTACCCGACTCGCTCTTTCGAATCGACGCCCAGTAGTGGTCCACACTGTAAACAACTCGGTCTTTGGCCCCGCCCCCAGCCGACAGCCACCGCTCAAGTGCAGGGTACTGACCTTCGTAAAGGCTGCGCAGTACCCCCAGGTGTGACGCAGCACGCTGTGGCCAGCCACCCCCCAGTGACAGACCCCGAGTCGGTCTTCTGCTGCTCGTTATTTAAAAACGGTGCTGCAGTGGAGATGGGCCTTTGAACACATCCCCTCCCGCTGCGTGTGCGCGTGCACATGTGTGCGTGCGTGTGTGCACGCGCCTGTGTGTGTGTGTGTGTGTGTGAACTCGGTCCCTAAAGAGGGACAGCTCTGGTAAAAGAGAACGCAGGTTTAAAATTCTGTGCCAAGCTGTTTCGTTACACAGGGCCACCTGTCCCCATTGTTACATGTCCAGTGACAAATGGTTAAGAAGGGAGGGAAGGATTCTAGAACGTCCATTGCCAGGACTTGGGACCACACCCTCAGCTCCTCACAAAGCCAACCAGCGGACTGCAGGGAGAGGAGCCCTCTGGGCACCGATGCAGAGAAGAAGGGAAAGCCACCCCGTGACAAGCGGAGAAGCCCGTCCGACCACTGACCGTCACCTCGGGGAAAGGAGGGACACTGGGAAGAAATCTCTACCCTCCCGTTTACACCCTCCTCACAGGAAGACAAATTACGAGCCTCCCGGGTTCATTCAGCACGACCACTGCACACCTGTGAGGTCGCAGACCCTGTGTCATGGGTCTGCCCCGGGGACCTCTCTTCCTCCCTGTCCCTCCTTTTCATGAACGCTCCAGTGTCATAATAGGAAGTACCATATGGCCACAAGCCACAGCGGCTTGACGAAGAATTTTACTGATGTGTGGTGGATGGTTCTTTTGCGTTCTATTTCCATTTTCTCCCAAACCTCGATGTATTTTGGGCCCGAGCTTCTGGATGCAAGCTGAGTTAATTTGCATGTGTGACCCTAAAGGAATGCTTTAGCGTACAGGAGGGGAACCGGCCCGTGGCCCGCTCGCCGGCTCGCCCACCCTAAAGGAATGCTTTAGCTTACAGGGGGGGTGAACGCCCGTGGCCCGCTCGCCGGCACGCCCTGGCCCGTCCCCCGCTTGGCTGCCGCCCCCGGGGGCGGCACCGCGTGGACGTGCGCCGGGGGCTCCGGCTCTCACCTCGGGGGCGATGTAGTCTGGAGTGCCGCAGAAGGTCTTGGTGGTCACGCCGTCCCACATGTTCTCCTTACACATGCCGAAGTCGGCGATCTTCACGTGGCCCTCGGAGTCCAGCATCACGTTGTCGAGTTTTAGGTCGCTGTGGTGGACAGAAGAGTTTAGGGACTTCGTTAGATGCTACTTAATTGCAAGTCAACCAACAGCCACTCGTTCCCAGGAGAGACACCGGACGAGGACGAGCCAGCCCCTGCCCTCTGACGGCTTGGGACTGAGCAGAGAGATGGAGAATGGTCCACAACCCCCTGCGTTTTGCTGCTTCTACGGAGCCAGCTGTCTCACGAGGACACCGTGAGACACCGGCTCTGAGATGAGACAGCCACAGAAAGCCGCGTAGTGTCCCGCAGGCTTCTCGTGGCCAGGAGCACTTCACACGTGCGGCTCACGGAGCCCTCGCGTTTTACAGGAAGACAATCTTTCATCAGATTGTTTACATCTCTGAAGATCACGGAGGGGAAAAAAACAGGTCGAGAGAACCCGATCTAATTCCAAGTGCTCCGAGCTCTCGTAGGTCACAGCCGGGACTTCCCAGCAATTTCTTCCAATCGGAAACTACCTGCCGTGCCCTTGTTATGTGACAGGCACTGCGCCGGGAGCTGGGCAGACACGGCGGGCGAGATGAACGCGCACCTGCTCTAGTTCAGATGAAACTCGCAGAGCAGAGAGGAAGACGGAAGTATTCGCGTCCGCGAAGGACTGTTAAAGACTATTACAGGGTGGCGCAAAGAGGAGGGCGCGACAGACACCTCAAACGGGCGTCGGGAGGACACCTGTGCTGATGAGGAGAGCCTGATGTGTTAGGGACCGCTGCACGTTCCCAGCACACAGGGCGACTCCAATATCTATCCGCTTTCCTCCTCCCCGAACACCTGTCCAGGTCGACGCTTGGTGCTTTAGCACCAAGGAGCAGGGAAGAGCCATGGGCCAGGCCTCCTCGGTCCCCGTGGAAGCCCAGCGCCCTGGGAGGTCAGGGGACCTGCTGCTGCTCAGCTCAGACCTCTACCCTCAGTTGTCTTCGCTGGGCAGGGGACCTCTGGGGTTTCTGCCTGTCCTAGCATCATGGGATGAGGGCGTCCACATTTCCTTTGAAGAATCATTCTTCCCTGATTCCCATGTCACATAAGGCTGGTGGCGCCGACCTCAACTCCTGGCTCCAGGAGTGGCCGGGCAGCCCATCCTGGCCGATGGAGACACCCCATCCCACTGGTCGTGCCAATGCCTTCAGGGATGACCATGGGACCCAACGTGAGCTACTGAAGCCACTGAGCATAAGCCCTGGCGCTTTGCTGGTACCATGGGAAAGGACTGAGCTCTCATTTACACTGAGGTTGCTCGAGTAGGGGGACAGATCGTAAGTCTAGAAATGCCACAGGTCACCAGACCGAGAGGAGGAAGCCCGTACGGACAAAGCACAGCACAGAGGGAGGGGGCTGGAGTGGAGGCTTGTAACATCATTTGAACCCCTGGATCGAATCAGGCCCAGATGAGTCAAGTCTGCCCCCCAGACTTTTCAGTTATGTCAGCCCCCAAATGCCTCTTTTAACCTAAGTTAAAAGAGTTGCTGTCATTTTCGACTAAGAGAACATAACCTGGAAATATATCCTGGCGTCTCCCGGCTGGTCTGTGAGGTCTCCTCTCCCGAAGGCAGGTTCCCTTGCACCCCCTGCTTGCCGCCGGCAACATCCTCGACCCCGCTGCTGTCCATGGTGCTACCCGCTCCCAGCCTCCGTGCTTGTCCACAAGCCTCCGGTCTCTGAATGCCAGCTCGGAACTTAGAAAAGCTGGACTTTGCAGCAACTTGATTTACCTAAACGCATGACCTTAACCCTCAGCTTGACCACAAGCCCCCCAAACAAGTAGCTGGGGCAACCAAGGAAGTGGAAAAACATCTTCACTCGTTCTAGAAAAGGAGCTTCAGGCGTCAAGAGCCAGGCAGATCTTGGGGCTGGAGGACGCTGCGGTCATAGTCACTGCCTTCTTTTATTTGACATGATAAATCTTCCTTCATGCTTCAAAATGGGGCTGGGACAATTGTTCTCATTTTCAGAAACTCATCATGGAAAAAAGCACCACACATTCCAGGGATGGGGACCAACACACCACACACTAAGTGTGGCAGGAAGGACCTTCTGCCTTCCCCCACCCGACACCCCCAGACATGGTCCTCAGAGAGGCCTCATCCTCTTTACTTGAGACCCGTCCGATTATCTAGAGATCTAACAAGGAAGGGGGGACTTGTGACACTTAAAAGACTTCGAAAAGCCACACACCTGCTGTCATGCAATTTTTCTTCCCGTTTTCATTGGACCATCCATTTTAAAAACTGTGTCAATCGAGGAACTTCACAGCGAGCAACAAAAACCAGTCATGACTATTTCAACCTAAAAACGATTTATTTCAACCTAAAAAGGAAACGGGGGGCGGGGACTCTCTGAGGAGGCTGAGGACCAGAGACCCGGAGGCTCTGCATCCAGGAATCGTGCCCGTCCGCCACACAGTTGGGCCGGTGAGGACACCGGCGCAGACGCCGCCCCTCCACCGCAGGGCACAGGCCTCGCCCCGCTCCGCGGAGCCCCAAAGCTGGGCTCTGGCGTGCTGTTAAGGACGCCTTCCTCTCTCTCTCGCCTCGGGGAGCTAGGTGTCGCTGATTCCTATGGACAGGCTCCCTTTCCTTGGTCACCGACTTCTGATTCGAGGTCTTGGGTGAGTGTGACGACTTTCAGAGCCTGAGCTGTGTGGCTGCCTGGCTCCAGGGAGACTGTGAGAATATCTGGTCTTCCGGTCTGGACAGTAGGAGGCAGACTCTGTTTCTACTCACACCCGAAGCGGTCCGGACACCGAGTGGCTTAAACGCGTGATAAATGACCCCTCAGAAGACACTTGAAAGGTGGCGGGAGACTCGCCTCCTGGTTCTGTTTTAGCGGAGGCCCGTCCAGGATGGGACTTAGCCCCCAGTGTCAGCACATGAGGGGACAATCACGTGGAGTGTACAATGATGTAAAGTCCCTCCCATCGGGTGGGACGGCGGAGCCGCTGGCTTGAATTTAGGGGTCACGCCATACAGAAGATAACATGCTACCCGTAGATACCAGAACTACATTCAGCACAAGATGCTCCCGCCATGACAGTCAAAGGGGAAATCAAGGGGATCGAGGGCCCTGCCGGCCCCGTCTCACGCTCACACGGCGACACAGGGTCACCGAGGGCAAGCACGGCAGGACGCGCACACTATTCACCGTTCACGTCACCGTCATTCTCCTGCCCCCCTCCTTCACAGAGATGGCCCACGTGCCACCCACGTGCCACAGACCACTCTCTCCCTGACCCTCCCCGTCCCCTACCAGGAGGACAAGGGAGATGGAGGCCCTTTTACTCAGGGGAAGCGTGTCCCTCCCCGATTAGATTTCACACGGCCACTTCGAGGAGTGAAAAAAAAGAGCCCCAGGACTCCGGGCTCCTGGCCAGGCCCCCGCCCGCCACCCTCCATCCCGCCGGCACCCTCAGCCTCGACTCCTGTCTCCCTCGGGACCCCTCTAGGCCTTTAGTTCTGCCTCCTTCAGCTGCTTTGCGAGGCCCAGGACTCCATGGTCACCCTAACCCTTCGGACACTGACCTCATGCTCTCGGCAGAATGACAGGCGACCAGCCAGCAGCCACCAGCCACCAGCCGCAGCCTGATTTTTCTCTGCAGCACTTACCACTCCCTGACAGACCACATCTTTATGATTTACGTGTCTGTCTCCTACCGGGAGAATCGACTCTCTACAAAGGCAGGTGGTTCCGTCCATTTTTCTCACAGCTGGATCCCCACTGCCTGGAAGACAGCCTGGCACAGCGTAGGCTTTTGATGAATGTTTGTCAAGTGACTAAATGAAGTGGACCTTTTTTTTAGGGAAAAGTTAATAAAGGAGACTCGTCATAACGTATATTATGACTGTATTAAACGAGATAGTTTAGGCTTGGCTAACAGGCCACAGAACAAAAGGTCCGTGTCGCACCAGTGATGTGGACTCTCGTGGCTTGTCACGGTCTTTTAAACAGACCTCCCCCCATGCCGAGTGCCCTGCGGGAGGCCCGTGCCCCCTGCCAGCCTCTCCCGTGTAACAAACCAGCCAAAACCAGCAGTGCCTTTGCCATTTGCACCCATATGACATAAGGACAACTGTACCACGTGGACTAAAGGCAGACTCGCACGGCCGTGACGCCACGCCTGCTCCTCCAGGGCGGGCCAGGGCCGGCTCCCCGGCCTAACCACGTCTCCCGGGGCAAGCTGCTCAGAGAGCCATTCCTAACTTGTAGTTACACAGCCAGACAACACAACTCGTGGGTCACGATAGCACGATCCATCATCTCCTGCCAGCCGAGGTTCTTTGCCTGCTCCCCACACGTGCTCACGGACCCCTTTAATGAGCCTCGTCGTCTGCGAGCAAGCGGTCTGGTGTCTGAGGCTCTGAACCGCCGCCGGTGGCAGGTCCGTTGAGATTTTCTGCCACCGCCTAGAGCTGCCCGAATCCTGCCAGGGCAGTGGGCGATGCTGCCTGGCAGAACACATGCCCGAGTGCGCACCGGAGAGCTCCTCCCCCAGCGTGGAGTCTAATTTTAAAAGCAGTTAAAGAAGGAGGCAGGCAGGGGAGGGGCCGGGGGCCGGACGGCGCTCACGTACCGGTAAATGATGCCCTTGCTTTGTAGGAAGAACAGGCCGATGGCGATTTCTGCGGCGTAGAATCTGAAATTAGGAGGGAAAAAAAAAGCGATGGAGGAGGTCGAGGGCACCGTGGCGCTGGCGACCCGCCGGGGAGGGAGCACGGTGGGCGGGTTCAGGGCCCGAGGCTGCTGCACGGACCAGCTGGGGCAGGAGAAGCCTTGGCGACTGCTTCGTGGCGTACGGTGGTCCAGACGGAGAACCCGTCTCAGACCCGACCAAGTTAAGACGCCTTCCTAACAGCAGCCAGCCTCCGACGAAGACCGAACGTCTCCTCAGCATCCTTTAAGCTACCCGATTCCATCTTCGCTCCGGTCCGAGGAGCTGGGTCCCACCATCGCCCCCTGCTCCTTACGCGAGGAAACCGGGGCTCGGTGCCATGAGGTGACCTGGCCCCTTTACCCGGCTAGCACGTGGCACAGCCGGATGGACATGGCGGCCATCGGAAGCACGCGCGCTTCCTGGAGGCCCAGGAGGGAGAAGGGGTCAGTCACAGCACAAGGGCTGGGCGGGGCTCCGGGGCGCTGGGTTAGTGTCCTGCAGGTGTGGGCGCTGGGTTAGTGTCCTGCAGGTGTGTGCGTGTGTGACGCTGTCCTGCAGGTGTGTGCGCTGGGTCAGTGTCCTGCAGGTGTGTGCGTGTGTGACGATGTCCTGCAGGTATGTGCGCTGGGTCAGTGTCCTGCAGGTGTGTGCGTGTGTGACGATGGGGTTCAGGCCCGCGGCCCATCAGCTGTTAGAGATAAAAGAAGATGGACAACCCCGTGTCCCCTCAGGATTGTGCCAAGAGAGACAAATGATGGGACGAGAAGCATCCAGAACGCAGTGCGCATGGGCTCAGCAGCTGGGGGGAAGGGGGCGGGGTGGACAGAAGGGAGCAGCGGCGGGGTGAGGCCCTGGGGACCTGCCGGGGGGACGAGGGCTCGGCGAACTCCGAAGGTGAGGTGAGCAGGGTGAACCCTAGGACTGGCCGTGATCCCGTCCACCAGCGGTGGGCGGGAAACAACGCTGCCTGCGTTCTAGGAAGAAGAGCCGGCCGCCTTGTGGACTGAAGGGGACAGAACGGACTCGGCAGGAAAATCACGCTCTAGAAGCCTGGGCTCGGCCTCCGCACCCCAGGAGCCACAGAGCAGCCCGGTCCCTCATCCCCACGGAGGACCGGAGGGACGGACGACCAGGCATCGGGGTCTGAGAGGGGTGTAGACAGAGAAGGAGCAAAGAAGATGCAACTCCCCCCGCTCAGCTACAAACCCAAAGCCACCGAGAACCCGCCCTGCACCCGACGGGGAAGCACGGCCCTCGCTGTCACTTACACGGCGTGAGGCTCCTTGAACCGGCCGACCTGCTGGATGTGGTACATGAGGTCCCCGCCGTTCACATACTCCATCACGAAGTACAGGCGGTCCTGGAGGGACAGGCAGATGGCGACATCAGCATCGGGGTGTTTCCCGGGCTCTGGGGGGGGCGGGTCATGACCTACCCCCCACCGGGCCTGTGCCACAGGAGCTACACGAGGATGCACAGGTGGTGCATGAATTTTTTAGAATTAATAACTCCAGGTTTATATTCGTGTGTTCTGGAAAATATACCCAGCGCATGAATCTTGTGATTTAATGGACATATTATTTAGGAAGAAGCTGATTTTAGTAGAAAATGGAAAACAGTAAGTGAATCCGGTCACAGGTGACAGGTGGCCGTGGACGCCAGCCTCTGTGACGTCCCTGTCACCCGTAGTTTTTACCTCCTACATTCACAGCCTTGTGCGGTCCCTTCCACAGGGACTAGGACTTGGGCAACCAACAGGACACTGGAAAGGTGACGGCACGTGACTTCCAGGACTGTCATAAACGACACGGCAGTTCTCACATTGCTCTCTCTCGGGGAAGCCAGCGCCATGTGACAGGGACGCCCCGCAGCACTGTGGACGGGCACACGCGGCAGAGGACCGCGGCCTGCCCCTAGCCGGCACCGACTGCCAGGTGCATGCGTGAGGCCCCTGGAGACAGGACCCCACCCCGTCAGCCCACCAGATGACCGCAGCCCGAGCTGGCCACTGGACTGCAACTTTCTTTTTTAAAAAAGTTAAATTTATGGGGGTGATGTCCGTTAATGAGGTTAGATAAGCTTCACTGCATAGGTTCATGATACGTCGTCTGTACATTGTACTGTGTGCTCCCCACCCAGAGTCTGGCCCCTTCCCGTCTGTCACCCCCATGGCCCTCTTCCTCCTCCCCGCCCCCCTCCCCTCTGGTCACACCTTTCTGCTGTGTGTGACTATGAGTTTTTGTTTGTTTCTTTCTTTCTGTTTTATATCCCACATACGAGTGAAATCGTGCGGTTCTTGTCCTTTTCTGTCTGACTTATCACACTTAGCACGATAAAGACCTGAGTATCAGACCTGGGACGATAAATCGCACAGAAGAAAACAGGTACTAGACACATGGACCTTGGACTTAGAGAGAATTTCATGAATTTGACCTCAAAAGCAAGGGAAGTAAAAGCAAAAATAAATGAACGAGACCACATCAAACTAAAAAGCTTCTGCACAGCAAAAGAAGCCGTCCACAAGGTAAAGAGACAACCATCCGAATGCGAAAATATATTTGCAAGCAACGCCTCCCATAAGGGCCTAATATCCAAAATATACGAAGAACTCATAGAACTCAATAACAACAACAACAAAAAAACAAACAATCTAATCAAAAAACGGGCAGAGGACCTGAATAGACACTTCTCCCCGAAAACACGCAGACTCCCCTTAGGGACCCCAGCACCAGGACCTGCCAGGGGAGCCGCGCCCGAGCCCCCGACCCACAGAACCCGAGTTACGGACTGCTAGCTGCTATTTCGAAGCACTGAGTTTTGGGGTACCCAGTAACAACCAGCGCCATGATTACGGGGAGAAATGAACGCTTAAAGTCTAAAAAATAGTAGCCTAGGAGGGCATATCAAGAAGCAAAAGAATTTGGGCCAGAAAAAGGAATCTATATCCCATTTGAGGACTTTTTTAAACACGTCTTTCAAGGGAGACGCAAACTCCTTCACGTCAGGGCTGCGTCCTGCTTGGCGGCGTGACCCCGTTCCCACGGTGTGACCAGCACGCAGCAGGTGCCCAAGACTCTGTGGGACCCCGCTCTGCTCCCTGGTAGCTGCATGTACTGGCAGAAGTTATCGAACACATGGCCTCCTCATCCGTGAGACGGACAAAATGACGGAGCCCAGTGCCGTTGCTGGCGTCCGAGGCGACACGTTGTGGCCGTGGTGTGGCCAGCACCCACACGTCTGTCCCCGACCCACACCCCGTCCTCCACCCAAGGCTGTTCGCTGTGTGGGGCAGTGACTTCCCCTCTTCATGGGGACCTCTGCTTGGGTCAAAGCACACGATGCATGCAAAAAATGAATGAATGAATGAATGAATGAAAGGAAGAGAATGGAGTCGGAACTATTGGACTGCCTGCACAGACTGCTACTCTGTGGCATTTCACGACATGCGCGTTTGGGTTAGATTTATGTGTCGGTATGGCTGGGTCATGGCGAAAAGGCTTGCCACCGAAGTCACAAAGCTAGGGGCAGGGGCGGTGGACGAGGCGGGGTGCAGGGCGGTGGACGAGGTGGGGCGCAGGGTGACGGATGAGGTGGGGTGCGGGACAGTTGACGTGGTGGGTGCGGGGCGATGTCCATGTCCGAAGTCAAGTAGGATTCAAGGCCTCTTCTCCCAGCTTGCCGGCTGCTCGACACGGAGCCATCATGTAGCCTCTCGGACCTCTAGCCCCCTCTTCGGAGTGGACGCCACTCACCTGCCCCCTACACCGAGATGACACGTGGAAAGTGTCCTATGTGAAGCTGGCCACGAAACAGATGTTTAAACCACCGTTTAAAAAGTCCCCTCAGAGGGCAAAGAACTTGATCATAGTCATGTGAGCATCTGTCAAACGTTGGTGTCGAGTGTCCAATCATTAGAATAATGGCAGCCTTGCAATGAAGCTGCCACCATGCAAGCACTTACTATGAGACTGTATGTGGGGCCTCATCCGTCTTCCTGAACAGCTCAAGTGACCATCTTCCTTCTAAACACATGGACATCGAGACTCAGAAAGGGCCAGTCCTTTGCCGGGGGTCACTCAGTAGCTAGGTAGCAGATTCGGGATTTGAACCCAGGCAGATCGGTTCCAGAGTCTATACTTGTGACCTCTTATTAGGCTGCCTCCCAGATAAGGTTCTGAGCCAGATGCTGTATGGGTATGTGGGGGTGTCCTCCCCTCTGAGGGCATCCGATCTGGAGGGAGGGGCCTTGGAGATCCAGCCACACGTCGACACAGAAGATGGCAGGGCCCAGGGGAGGCATCCAGGATAATCCATCAATTTTTGAAATGTCGAAGGACCTTCTGGACTGATACTGGTCCACCTACTCAGCATCTCTGAAGGCAGAATTACTACTCCTGCTCCCGGCATCCAAGGCGTGCGGGAGAGTTGCCAAAAGGTCACATACGAGTTAGTTTCGGAGCGGAGACAGTCAGCCAGAAGTGCCGACACCCAGATCCCGGCTCTTTGGGGAGGGGGGAGTTGACAGAAAACAAGCCTTAAAATAGCATCTGTCTTTGCTGCACATTGAAAAGAACCAAAACACTTGCTTTTAAAAATTATTTTTGAAACTAGCAGATGGCATCGGCCACAGAGAGAGGAGTGAGTGAGGGAAAGCTTTCACTCGCTTGCTTTCTGCCTAGAAGAACTCGACTTGCCCCTAAACTCACGAGCCAGAATCCCAGCGTGAGGGGCGAGCTCTCTCGGGCAGGATGCCACGTTTTGAGGTCTGCCGCGCGGGAAGGCCCCGAGGCCCGTCGCGTCTGAACCGTGCCGAGTCTGGCTTCGGCACGCCCGTGTTCCGGGCTCTTCCACGATACGGCTTGCATGTCGCTGTCACTTCACGTTCCGAATGAACGCGGATGATGCCCACCCCGTGCCAGGCCTGATTCTGCCGCCAGGCACGCGAGTCATCCGCGGAGCCCGACGGGGAGGGTTCCCCGGGCGAGTGGGGAGACCTCACGCGTCACCCGGGGACACCTCGCAAAACGGGAGGCAGGTCCTCGTACTTGGGCTGCGGACACGTGGTCGCTTCGTGTGTGTTTCAACAGGTCTTGTGGGAGACGGAACCGGCCCTCGGGAGCCCCCGAGTTCACGGCGACGGCTGTCGAGCGGGCGAGCGGGATGCACGCAGTTACGAGAGAGGAGAAGGGAGACGGGGAGGGTGGGCCCCGATTGCGCCAAGCCAGGCGGGGCCGACACCCCAAACTTCACTCGTCTCCCGCGCCAGCCTCGAGGTCCTTATCCGGTTTGCCTGCCTTGCCTACAAAAATTTACTCATTTTTACATATTTGTGTTGACTTGTTTTTTAAAAAAAAAAAACCAAACACAGTTATTGAAACACTTTAAACATCATATCTAAGTCCTAGATGGAAATTCGTGGTCTCCGTGCAAAATACACACACACCTGGAGTCCATCAGCCCTGTGCTGCAGCCGCTCTGGCTTGGAGTGCATCAGCCCCCCAAAGGACTTGTTTTTAAGACAAATGCCATGTGTCGGTGTCCCACCGAGTTCACCCCCACTGGAAAGTCAGGGGCATCCGCGCCTGGAAAACACTGCCAGAGCCATCTGCCGCAGAGAAGCGAATTTGGGAACTTTTATTGAGCATGTATTTATTTCTGCAAGTCACGGAGGAGGCGTTAACGGGGCGAAAATGATGACTAAGACATAGGCCTTGCCCTCGGACATTCCGAACCGTGGTGACAACACGCGACCGACTGGAGCTGTTGTCTAAAAACAGACCGCGAGAAAGAACCGCACGCGAGGCACGGACAGCTGTGCGGCTCCGCCTGGGGACACGGCCTCCGCCCGCCACCTCCGGCCCCCACGCACTTCTCTCTGCCCGTCGCGGCCTGACCTCTGACTTACTCCCCACTCGTCCTGCAAAATCATTTCAGGACCTCAGAGATCTCTCTCCGAGTCACACACGGCAGTTTTTGAGGAGGCCCCGTTCACTGTGCCACGTGAAAAATCAAAAAGCATTCATTGAGTGTCAACTGGAAGCCAAGCTTTGCTTCCTCCTACTTGCTGAGTTTTCCAAAGACACTTGTCACAGCTCAAAGCCTCAGCTCCCGTCTTCCCGGGCTGACTTGCCCGTCTACCCTCCCCTTCCTCCCGAGCTCCAGTCCGCTCCAGCTGGCTCCAGGATGTTTCGACGTGGGTGTTCTACCGTCAAGTCCAATTAAACGCCCGGAAAGGCGAGCTCACCACGTTTCTCTCTGAACTAGCCGGTCTGCTCGACTTGCGTGTTTCTTCCAAACTGTCATTGTTGCTATTCAAATTGTCGCTTTGCATTGCCCTTGCCTCCTGAGCGTGACATGACC